AATCATAGACCTTATGAGAATATATGAGGGTGGTATCGTCAGCGAACAGAACACCATCGTGAGGTGTTAAAATTGGCGTCAAGTCATTTACATAGATAATGAAGAGTAGTGGCCCCAAAACAGAACCTTGGGGGACTCCAAACTCTACTTCTCTGAAATTAGACAAACCATTTTTATAGAGTACTGTTTGGAATCGATTTGTTAGATAGGATTTGATGAGGTTTAGAGTAACTACCCTGATTCCATAGAAATTGAAACGCAATCAAAAGCCTTGGACAGGTCACACAGAGTTATACTCATATGGTATCCCTGTTCAAGTCCCTGGATCAGTTTTTCCACAACATATTATGATACTGCACCAATGGTGGAACGATTTGACCAAAAGCCAAATTGTGAATTATTAAAAAAGAATTTGTCTTCAAAGTACCTTGTTAGTCTGTGTTTTATTATTATTTCAATTATGATATGGCTAATGAAGAAGCTATCACTATCAAAGCAGAAGTGCTCTTAGATACCAATTTTTTTTCGAAAATAAACAACAGATGAACAGTTGGTCTCAATAGGCGACTGAGTTTGAGATCGCAGCGCCAAAGTGGCAGGTTGTGAACTATATGAAAGTACATTGTTTCGAAATGGTTCATATGCTTCGTTCAAAAAAGTAAGTTTCACTTCTTCAAATACAAATGCCCCAATTTTGCACAAATGAGGTAAACAACAGTTTGGTTTCTCGCAAATTTTTTTGACATTTGACCTTTTTTGACATGTTGTATTTGTATATTATGTTGTATGACTAGAGTTGATAATTGGATGGTCTCCAACTGGTGTCCTGGTGTGGAGACTAAATGTTTATACATCACTAAACTATGAAAAATACAAATAAACCCTACTTCTTGTTGATTTTAGGAAATAAAATCTGTTATTGAAGTACAACGTGGACATACAGGGTGTCCGGAAATAAAACCGACAAAACTCATGGGGTTATAGGGACTGTCAATATGATTGCAAAATGCCATAAACAAATGTCCATAACCACTTCATTAGTGACATACAGATTTGTGGATTTTGACAAAAAATTCAATTCGCCATATCAAATACAGGGATTAACCGATTAGATTCAAATTTGGTACACGAATCACACTGAAAGGCATCAACAAGTCCTCCGATCGAAACCAATATCAGGACTAATATTTTTTCCCAATGTTGAGTTATTGTTATAATAACTCACCCTGTATAATAATAACGAAAAATGATTGATAACTCAGATTCGAAGTCTACGGTGAAAATTGTATAGCAATTTGTTAAAGAATCTGCTGGCACTATCTCAGTTATTACGTAATTAATTATTATTTCATTTTTTTTCATTCAAAAATCAATTATTGTCGGATAAAGTACCATCAAAATTGGTAATATATATTTACGAAATCATGACATCAATTTCGTTATTTTCTTCAATCAGCCCGTAAATCGTAGTAAAATAAAATACTCTCATAACCCGAAAAAACTGAATAAAAAATTCGTATCAGGACTGGAATGAGTTTTTTTATGATTATATTCCTGTAAGAATAACTAATCTAGAATAACAATAATCTGATCGCAGATTCGAAATCCACTGGGGAAAGTTAAAATTTTGTTGAACAAGGACCGGACTGAACTTCCAAATGATAAATCCGTATCAGTAGCTTATAATGTTTGTGTACTAAGAATACAGTAGACTCGTGTCAAATTCAGAATTTCATTATGGAGAACTATCAACAGCAACGTTTGTTTTATTGCTGTTCATTCATTGTCCTAGTGTTTTTCACAGAAGAAAATAACGACATTCATGCCATGGTTTCGCAAATATTTATTATATTACTAATTTTCATGGTACTTGATCCGACAATATTTGATTTTTGAATGAAAAAAATTAAAATAATAATAAATTACAGAATAATCTAAGATAGTGCCAGAAGATTCTTCAACAAATTCCTATACGATTTTCACTGTAGTTGTCAAATCTAAGTTCAAATTTTTGGTATTAATTATACAGGGTGAGTTATTCACACAATAACTCAACATAGGGAAAAAATATTATTCCGGTCCTGATATTGGTTTCGATCAAAGGCCTATTTGTTGATGCCTTTCAGTGTGATTAGTGTACCAAATTTGAATCTAATCGGTTATTCCCTGTATTTGATATGATGGCGGATTGAATTTTTGTCAAAATCCACAAATCACTCTGTATGTCAGTAACGAAGCGGTTTTGGACATTCGCTTATGGCATTTTGCAATCATATTGACAGTCCCGATGACCCCATAAGTTTTGTCGGTTTTATCTCCGGACACCCTGTATAAATTGTCCAGTGATAGAGAGAAAAGGACGAGTAGTTGTGAATGAATATCCAAGATGGATGGCAAAAGAAGATGAAATTTCGAACTTTTTCGTAAAATATCGCGATTAATAGCGGTTTGTTCACATTTTCATTGTGAAATTCGTGTTTTTCAGAGGAAAATACGTGAGTACCAAAAAAAAATTTAAAAACATCGCATGATAAGTGCACTTTTACCTTGAAATTTCAGAAACTTCACAGTGAGATAAAAACCTCAATATCGGAAACTCCCTAATTACATACTTGACCTCCAAAAATAAGAAAACATACATCATTACCTCAATTCAAAAACTAGGAATATTTTTGGTGGGCACACTATCACTTATAAAATCGATCACTAGATTATTCCTTACACTGTTTCACTGGCTTTCAACAAAATTTCATATTAATATTACATCAATTATCTCTTGAATACCAAACACGTTCACTTCGGTGCATTCACAGGCTGTATATTGTGTATGTACAGAATAGAGATAATTAGCGTAAGCGTATATCTATTCCGTGATGAATGATGGAAGTAAGATACGGTGTAATTACTGATGCGCTTTTGTTTCAGAAATTTTACTCAACCTCTCGAGAGCAGCGAGAGCAATGGTTCCGGTGATCTTCTAATAGATGGCGACATTGCACAATTATGACTTCTGTCAGTTTTGGAATTGTCGCAGATTTTTCGAATTCAGAGTTGTTTAATCTAGGGTCCCTTGATGGAAATTGACGTTAAAGTCATCTTAACAGGGTACGGACAGATCCTCGTCTCCTCTCACTCCAAAGTAATTGTGAAAAAGTTATATAGTTCCATCCTTATTCAATTCTGGGGATAAACACTAGATTTTTGACATTTGTTGTTTTTTAGGTTATATTGAGGTCATTGGCGTATCATACGGAATTTTCATATGGAATTCCTGATTCAACTATACCAAGATATATGTGAACAATCCTCTAGTTTTAGAGTTTACTACTCCAGCATAATCTTTGTGAGGTAGGAAACATATAAATTGTACTGAAAGCTTCATATACTTCACCGGACAAAAGATACTGTTCTTAGACTGTATACTAGGGTTGACTGAATTGACTGATTGAATTCTAATTATTTCAAGCTGAGCATCAGTTTATCTAAGAGCTGAATGAGCTGAGCCTTATGATTGAGAAATGGTGAAAACCTCGGTGGGTATCTAAACAACTGTAATCTTGTCATGTGTGCTAAATATATTCTCGGAAATCCAACTCGGAGAAGAATTTATGGAGTGACTAATATCACACTATGTGTATAACTCATTCAATCGTAAAATCTTTCAATTTTCTTGAATTTTATAATCATTAACATTCAGAATAAATCATTTGACATTGTCAATATTTTCTTCTTTCAACAATATACAAATTGTATTGGGAACGAATAATAAATGTCATTACTAGATTACTAGCTGACTTGGCGAACGTTGTTTTGCTATGCAAAATATTTCTAGAAAACATCCTTTTAGGTAAATAATTACCAGCACACTTTATTTACCTCATTTCCTACTTCTTTTTAGTTCGGCTGTCCATAAAAGCATGTTTCTTTAGTTTTTCAAAATACTATTCATTTTATACTCCTTTTCAGCTCGGCAAATCTATCTCTTCAGTTTTCTAAACTACTCATTCTCATTCTCTACTTCTTCTAAATTCGGCTAAGTATCTACGAACGCGTGTTTAATTGATTTTTCAAACAACTATTTATTACATCTTGAATATCCCAATTTTGACAAAAAATCATAAAGTTCGACCCCGAAAACCCCTAGATACCAATCTTTAATAGAATCAGATCATAATTAGAAATGTCTTTCGCCATATTGGATCAGTCATCTTGAATTTTTCAATTTTGACGAAACTATCATTATCTCCTACTCCGAAAACCCCCAGATACAATTTTGAATAGAGGATCTTAATAACAAAACTCGTCCACCATATTGGATCCAGAATCTTGAATATCCCAATTTTGACGAAATAATTATAATCTCCGACCCCGGAAACCCCCAGATACCTTCCAATTATGGATAGAATCGGATCATAATTACAAAACCTCGTTCGCCATATGATCTTCCAAGTAAATGCCCTGTACATACCTATTATTAAAATTTTGAATGATTTTCTGTAGCGCCCATGGATGTGACGTGACAGAAATTTCAGGGATGCCAGTAGACAAAACTAAAGTCTCTAGATCATTAAAAAAGAATGCAGCTATGATCTGTCCGTACCCTGTTTAGATGACAAATACGTCAATTTACATCAAGGGACCCTAGTTTCATCCCACTGTTACATATGTTCCACGTATTTATTTCCACTCGTCACAGCAGCAATAGCAGCATCACCATCTAGCGGGAAAATGTAGAATCAACGTCTCGCTCGTTGTGACGCAGAGAAATCATAGTAGGCCGGTCGAATGATTTTTCTGAAATGTTCAATACGTAGTAATGGCCGAATGCGCGCACCATATCTTACTTCCATCATTCTGTTGTGTATGTGCATAATGGCCGGCGAGAGACTTTCGGACAGTGTTGCCAGTGTGGTTCAGCTCGATTTTGTTGATACAAATGAATAACAATTTATGTATAAAGAAACACGTTACATAATTTTATAACATTGTATTAAGTTACCCTAAGTTACACTTTGCTTTCTTTTCAAATTTTTATCTGATAAGGCACTTTTTTCTCTTTCTAATCTCATGTTTCGCTTCATGGCTTTATTTTCAATGTCTTCGTAGTGTTCAGCAAACATCAGCTTCAGAGCTGGTCGTAAATGTGGGACTAGAACTAGATCATTCATATTAACCTGCAAAAAACAAAAGTTTAAAAGTTGAAGTAGTTTATGAGGTATCTGTCAAAGTCAAAATCACCCAAATTTTTTCCTATTTTACCATAGTGGAAGGAGAAGATGGTGTGCCTACGCGCATATTATGTGACGTCATCTGGGATACCAATATCAGCTGCTAGTCACAGACAGATACCGTTGCCATGGGCGTGCGCAATGAATTCAATCATGTTTTTTGAAATTTCTATGAGTTTATCGATCTGTTTAGAAATAATTCAATTTATATAAACAGGTAGGTACCTATTCCTTCGATTTTACTATTTCATTGATTCTGGAAATTGTGATCTTGAGGTAATTCGCAATCGTAAATAGCAAAAACATAAGAATCATGCATTGCCAATCCCATCTGAATGATCCACTACTGTGTCGATTCTGACAGATTTAAATTCAGCAGTTAACGACGTTGACGTTGCTTCTGCTCCGACATCGACAACAGAACAGGAGTATCAATTTTTGCCGTTTTGTTATTCAAATCTTTGCTGCAATTTATATTTTGTGAGAAATTAAGAGTTTTGAATTCATTTTCAATCATTTCTGACTTGATATAGGACGGAAGATGTTCTGTAGGAATGGCATCTTGTTTCAAATATTTGTGATTTTTTGGAGGTGTAAGTTAAGAACCGTACTTCCACAGTTGTTTGGGAACATTTTGCATGGAAATGTTTTGAAGAAATACGTGCTGTAATATGAATGTGATGATAATATGATAGGTGAATACTTTGGAATGAGGATATAAGGAATATAAGGTAGGTACCATTATTTGAGTTTATTTTCTGTCGGCACCAAGCTCCTATCGTTTCATCAGGTCTCCATTCTTGGAGAAGCAGAAAAATGCAATATCTGTACCTTTTGTGTGTTAGTTGGAATTTCCATAACCAGAAACGAAACAAGTGGGCATTTCGAAATTATTTCATTCAATTTTAGTACTTATATAATATCTGAAGTTCGAGACATCAATCACGAGAACAAATAATAACAATGACAGTTATATCCCAGCTGACGTCATGCGCAGAACAAGACGAGTTTGAGCTTCCTGTTGAGCACACCATCTTCTCCTTCCACTATGTATTTTACTAAAAATAGAAAGCCTCGGAGGCTAAAGTCTATTCAGTGAAATGTTAGATAACAATGTCGTTCATATTGACTAACGAAAAATCCTTATGCAGCGTGTTTGAACATGAACCCCAAATATTCATGAGATAGTTCATTTTACTAAGGATGTGAGAGTATAGAACGGTATTTGCTATATTTGGGCTATGTTTTGGACATCTTCTTAGGGCACCAACTATGGGAGGAATTTTTCCTTTGAGCATGCCAATATGCTTGTCCCATGTTAACTTTTCAACAATTCAAATACCAAGGTATTGGATTACCAGAAACAGGCCATATTAGAATCAAATTATCATATGATCATAGGAAATAAGTAACTAGTTTTGGGTTTTGAATAAACAGGTGATCATTTTGTGAGGTTATCTATTGAATTTGAGTATTATGATTACACAAAAACAACCAATGAGATATATTATTATCACGATTACGTGTTTCTTAGGATTCATGCATGAATCAATGTTTCATTTCTTCAAGACTTAGGACTTGCGACTAAGGGCCTATTTATGCATCATTGTCTCAGTCTTAGTCTCAGTCACAGTCTTTGTTTTAATCATAAAATCAAGTTTTGAGCATACATTTCAATAGGTGAATTCATGCAACATTTTTAGTCTTAGTCTCAGTCATAATCATTAAACTTTCAATTTTTATGCTTATGATTGAGACCAGATAAGAAATGCGCATGTGTAGACCTGTCAACATCTTTGACAATCACAAATGACTTTTAATTTTGTGTTTGTCTCCCAAAAATCAGTCCCATTCTGTGCTATGTCAATAATTGATAACATCATTCTGATAATTTTATTACATTTGATAATAAATATCAAAAAATCATGAGCCTGGAAGAAGGAACCCTAATAGATTTGGTAGAGAAATATCCCCATCTTTGGGACAAGAAAGACTCAAAACACAAAGATAAAATTGCAATAGAGAATTCCTGGAAATCAATGTCACAAATCATGGCTTTGACTGGTAAATAGATTACATTTTATCTCTGGTGTATAGAATTTGTTTTTGTACCCTATCTACTGACGGATCTCTTGACGGATTTTCAATTGTCATATCATAATTTTTAAGCCTAAAGGTATGTTCATGCTTGTATGAATTCCGCAAAATTTATGCGAATCGCAAAATATGAATTTCCCAACAGAATTCGACGTTCATACTCATGCGACAAAATTTGCAGGAGATAAGGGTTCTGTTGTCATATAATTTCTTCATTTCTGGTCCCACCATTGAAAGAAAATCATCAAATTGAAGGCAGGTTACACGAAAGTAATTGAAATATTTATTAGGGTCATTCCTCGGGTCATTTACCAAACGAGGCTGTAATCTTTATACATTTTTCGGCATTTAAAAATGCTTCGAACACTGCAGCTTCTTTTTTTGCTTCTGGATACATCATTAGTTCTATTGAGACGATACAAATGATACATTAAAATTAATTCGTCCAGAGAATCCATCCTGCGAAGAAAATTTAACAACTGATACATTAAAATTAATTCGTCCAGAGAATCCATCCTGCGAAGAAAATTTAATCAAATGAAGAAATGATGAAATTTTTTATTGTAATCCTGTACTTACCTGTAGTCTAGTATATCTAGTCTCGTCTTTTTTTGCGGCCCCCGTTGTTTTCCCCAATTTTGATGTTATCAAGATAACACATTTTATGCATACTGTGTGGTTATGATTCCATCCGAATTCGTAAAAAAGTTCAAATATTTCAACTTCATTGTGATATTCGCAGTCGCCATTTTATTCGCATAAATTTTGCGGAATTCGTACATGCATGAACATACCTTTAAGACTGTGATGCATAAAGGTCCAAATATGATGAGTTTATATTCTATTCACCTTGGTAAGACTATGATAAAGACAATGATTAAGACAATGATGCATAAATAGGCCCTAAGACTTGCGATTAAGATCGTTCCATAAATCCACCAATAATTTTTAGTTTCTGTCAATTACTTTCCTAATGTCTTATACAGGCTGATTTTAAAATGAGTGCATATATTCAAGACATATATATGAGAGAGTCTAACAAAAATTACTAAAATATTTGATTTTTTCTAAGTCTTCACATTAACGAGAAATTTCATTTTGAAAATTGAACATAAAATGCTTCGAAATTCGAGTACGCCACTGGGAAGCAAGTGAAATCTGCGGAATCCCAGGGAATCTCCAATTCGTCATTCACTAACGTCAAAACAAGACAGTGATGCCAGATTGTTTCAGAGACGAATATCCTGATAAAAATTTGTCACAGAATGAATATGAATTGGAATAGGTCATGGAAACTAATAGAGGTGAATGTAATATGTACAGGAGCCTTATTTTTTAAAGTTTACTGAGAGAACTGTGGGGTGATTATCTCCATGGATCACGAGAGAGGGAGAGAAACATGAGGGGAATGAAATACTATGATGAATGAAATACTAATATCGAGTCCATTCCAGACTAATATCGTCCTGTGTTCTTGTTGGTTCATATTCGCACTTAAACCATCGAAAACGACTCGACGACGACATATCCTTCCTGGCAATCTCACTTTGAAATCACGATCACGACCATATCACGATTATCACGACACAAGACACAACATCCAATTATTTTATTTTTTATTTTACGTTTACAATTATTTTACAAACCAGCAACCACACAAACAAAACTATTATCATATGATCTGTCAACATCATTTCTCAGAACAGCAGTATCTGTGACCATAGATTCCCTCTTTGCTGTGACCTTTGACAGTACTAACTAGGATTGTTCGCGTTCTATTACTATTTCACGAAGATTGTTACGATATCACGATTTGTCATGAATCTATATTACTATTTGCTATTAGCACCAAAATATGTTCCAATACTAAAAAATCTATTTCTGTGCTCAGCGGATAATTATGTTCCGTTCTATGTTCTATATTTATGTCAAAACTGTGATTAGTGCGATAGGGTTTGACAAGAATGACATTCCGAATGTCAAATGTCAGATTTTTCGAGTCTATTACCTTTTGATACAAATCTGATACCTTTTTCCAAGGAAATCTATTGCGAAAAAATCAGACCCAGGAACAACACTTGACTAGTAAATGTAAAGTTTTGTTTCTGACAATTTGCTTGGAAAGTGACGATGCATTTCTCAAACATTGAGCTGAATGATATGGTTCTTATGTCGGGTCGATATTGTGCGGGGCCCATGAGACTCCTCGAAGGACACGAAATTGTAGCGATGCAAGGAGGTGGAAGGAGGGTCTAAAGGATTTTTCAGTAAAAGAACTTCCAAGGGGAGGTGTTAAGCTATACGCTATTCGAGCTTATGTGTACAAATCTTGGGTGAGTCCATTTTAAAGTTTTTGTATTATCTTTCTGAAATTCAAGACCAGGGTTAACTTCTTCCCCATGTACATTTTCTCGATTATACATTTTTTTAATATCTCCTAATTGTCATGTAGAGTGGCAACGTCGCTTCGTTCATCACGTTCGACTGCGGATCGCAAACGATAGTTGTGACAGAAGTAGAAATCTGGGCGGAAAAAGGGTATTTTGCCCCAAATCGATTTTGATCCTAATAATATTTTTAATAGTGCTATTCGGTAGTATACCTCAAGCTTTCTTCGTGTTTAAAATATATGCACTTATTTTAAAATCAGCCTGTATAGCGATCAAATCGTTCGCGTAAAAAATCAAAAAAATCCGCTACTGATAACAAAAGATGTGCAGTTGTGCCTGAATCAATATTTATAGAAGCTCTAAAGATATTGCCGCCTTGTGCTATTGCACGCAAAAAACCACAGTAAAACCGGCACTGAAAGTGCCTCTTCCAAATCATCTTCGGATCAGTAAAATAGCAAATCAACAGTCGAAATACAAAAAGAACACATAATTTACCTGCATATTATCGAAGGCGATTCCGACGTTCTCGCTGAAGTTGTCGTTGTACCTCGGCAATTTGGCGTAACGCTGACTGAAATGTGTCAAAATCACGTGTTTGGCGGCCATCTTTCGGCCGACTTCGATGGCCTGCGAGGTGGTGGAATGCATCTTGACGACCGCCTCTTGGGCCAGCTCATCCTCCATGGTGGCCTCGTGTATTAGAACGTCGCTATTCGCACCTGCAGTTTTTTTGAATATTTAGTGTTTTTTGATTTTTCGAATTTTGTGAATTTTTTTGATCTTCAATTTTTGTATTGAATCTTAAAATTTTTTGAATTTCTTGAGCGCACTGAAGAGAATCTCTATCATGTTCGTGGAACATCGTGAGTACAGGGTCTTCACGTTTTTTTTCAATTCCCCCTTGACATTTAAAATTAATTGTACAATTTTTTTTCAACTATTCTTTGTGACTTTTTCTGTAGATTTCATGCTGCTTATCATCTTACATTAGATTTAGTAATATTACAATATAAAATATCGTATTTTCAAAGATTCATTTCTGAGCTCTCAAAGTTGCTCTGATTTTTTAATAGTTGTAGATAAAGTATAGATAGATAGATAGATAGATAGATAGATAGATAGATAGATAGATAGATAGATAGATAGATAGATAGATAGATAGATAGATCTTTATTTAACTACGTGATGTATAAAACATTTGTAGCAAGTCAGGTAGCAAGTAGTTACAAAAAGTACAGTACAATATTCACTAAATAAATAAAATAACAATGATAGTAAAATAAAATAATATGTGTACATTACAACATATCATACACATATAGTAGACACAATAATTATTGGGACATATAACATGAGTATTGGAGCATAAATATATGTGTTTCAGTTTTTCAAATCACATCCTGGGTGGGTCAGCCATATACTCAGCAATACTGTAGTAGCATTTTTCCTGTAATATCACTTTGAGAGAGTTTTTAAATGTCGATTGATTTTCATGCTTTAGTGTTGCAGGAAGTATATTGTAAAGGTCAACAATCATTGAGTTTTTGAATGACTTGTTGTATTTAAATCTTCGAGACCTGATCAAATTTGCGTTGCGTGTGTTATGATCATGGTAATTTGAGTTAGTCAGGAGTTTATTTTTATTTTCATGAATCTCGAGCAGAGACTGATAAATATACAAAGTTGGTAAAGGCATGATATTGAGTTAGCAAAATAATGGCCGACAGCAATCTCTGTAACCCGCACTACAGATTATTCTAATGGATTGCTTTTGAATCTTGAACACTTTTCCAGAGTAGGAGGAATTTCCCCAAAGGGTCAATCCGTAGCTGATATATGATTGGATGAGAGCGAAGTACGCGGAAAGAAGAGTATTTTTATCAACAAACGCTTTTAGTTTTCTCAGAAGAAAATTGTGTTTGCTCAACTTGGAACAGGTATTTTCAATGTGTGGTTCCCAGCTTAAACTATCGTCAATAGTTAATCCTAGAAGTTTGGCGTGGTCGCCTACAGATACTTTATTGTTTGTTGAAAAGATTAAATGTTTTGTCTTATCTTTATTCAATTTTAGTAAATTACTATTAAACCATTCTTGTGCAAGGTTTTCTGCTGTTTTCATCGAAGTTAATAGCGATTCGTAACTATTTTCAGAGCATATAAGAGAGCTATCATCAGCAAAAGCAATACCTAGATAAGTAGTATTATTCTACTCGCGCATAATGGCTATTACCCATTCGGATGACACCTTCGCCTGGTACTGCTATTTTCATGTTTGTGAGTAATCCATCATTATGAGCTCATTGAATAATGTACCTACTATTAAATGGATCACACTAAATAATTCGAATTTATTAGATAGAGTATAATTTTGTGACTTCAAATATTTATAGTGGCATCCATAAAGTCCGTAACATATGGGAAAAAGTTGAATATTAGAGTAACGAAAATTTTGAAGGCAATAGTCATAAACACGAACACAAAACCATACAAAAAGATATTTTCACTCTCATCAAAATTAAATCAGATATGGGTAAAAGATCCATTTTATACAATGGAACAATTCTCTATAATGAATTACCTGCCAGACTAAAAAAGTGTTGAGAAATTCAAAAAAGGACTGAAAAAATACTTATGTCTATAATTCTCTTATATCGTCCTAAATCAATTCAAGAAATAATATTCAAGAGTCTCTAGAAGAAACAACATTTTATGTACTATGTATATGATTTAAAAATTATCTGATTATCTGATTTTTTTTTCTGTGAGGGTAAATAAGTTTGGCATTTCATCTCTGTTGGCAGGTTATAAAATGTCACTTTTTATAGATTACTTTTTTCCCGTGGGTGCATGTTCGGTAATCATTTCAGGTGCAATCAGAATGGTTGCAAGTCAAATAGCATACAGGGTAGGTCAAAAAATATATAAATTGCTAAAGAGTAAAGTACCCGTATTTCAGAAAATGAAAAAAATGTTATTGAGAAAAGTTGTTTACAATAGAAAGTTATGCCCAAATACCAAAACATAGCCTCCTAAGACATTTTTTAGTTTTTCAATTTTGTTCGTTAATAATTTCCCAATATGTAATAAACTACTCAACACTAATTTCGTCGCACACCAAAATGTCGCCCCTGTTATAATGTGAATAATTTTTTTCAGTTTGGAACAATTTGAATTTGGTTCACACTGTTCGATAGCCCAGTCCTTCAGCTATAATCTCGTACTTCATTGAAACATAAGGGTATTCACATAAAATCTCTACATGGTGTTTTCCGACACTGTGCGAAATTTCGGAATATTCAAAATGCTCTCAAATGGCGAGAAATTTTTTTTTTCTCAACTTCGACAACAGAGGCATGCAGATGATCTCATTACCTCAAGATATTTCGCGAATCAACTTCCTATCTCTCTTATTTACAGAGTGATCTCAAAAAATAAACTTTTTGGTTTTGCAGCCATAACTTTTTTCCACGTCAACCGATTTCGGAAATCTTAGGCTCATTTTGAAGATAAAACTTTAGATGAAGAGATCTGAATATCAGAATTGACTCAAGATGGCAATCAAAGATCTAGAGTTTTTTTTAAAGTGACCCAAATCTGGAACGCCCTCCGAATCTCGGTTGGGAGGAGAATTGAATGAAAATCAACTTGTTCTCGGGAAAACAATTCATTCTGGATGCGTCCATATTTTCCTCGTTCTCAGTACTCAAGAATGTGCGTGAGAAAATATAATTGAAACATGTTCTTGCAAAAACATCAGACCATTTCTCCTCTGTAATGCATGGCCCGTAACCAACGTTACAAGAATCACAGTAAGTGACTGACAAGTCAGGTTAGACGTCGTTTTCGAATCATAAACAGATTTTGATAGTTTTGATGCCGCATTTAACGCCGACCAGTTGGAACTGATTCCACAAATGAGGGAACAAGGGTTATCTTCCCTCCAAATCGCGGATCTGCTAAACACGACAGTCCGAACCATTCAAAGGGCTTATCTCCGACACGAATTGTTTGGTTATTACTGTCGATTCGTTCGGCGCATTATTGCGACTGAAAACTTTACGTAATTGGCATACTGTTTTCGTGAAACTTTCACCATTTTTGAAATGCGTTTTTACAATAAATAAACGTTGTTTGCTTGAATACTTCTCCATATTCTTAAATCGCATGTTATGTACGTGACAACTGTTAAAAAAATCACTTTATTGAAAAAATCAAAATCTATTGCTCTTGTTGGTACACCATTTATGATGAGCCTCAGCTGGTCGGGTTTGTCAGTCACTCATTGTGATTCTTGTAACGTTGGTTACGGCGGGCCATGCATTACAGATTACAGAGGAGAAATGATCTAATGTTTTTGCAAGAACATGTTTCAATTGTGTTTTCTCACGCACAATCCTTGACTACTGAGAGGTAGGAAAATATGGACGCATCCAGAATGAATTGTTTTTCCGAGAACAAGTTGATTTTCATTCAATTCTCCTCCCAACCAAGATTCGAAGGGCGTTCCAGATTTGGGTCACTTTCAAGAAAACTCTAGATCTTTGATAGCCATCTTGAGTCAATTCTGATATCCAGATCTCTTCATCTGAGGTTTTATCTTCAAAATGAGCCTAAGATTTCCAAAATCGGTTGACGTGGAAAAAAGTTATGGCTGCAAAACCAAAAAGTTGATTTTTTGAGATCACTCTGTAAATAAGAGAGATAGGAAGTTGATTCGCGAAATATCTCGAGTTAATGAGATCATCTTCATGCCTCTGTTGTCGAAGTTGAGAAAACATTTTTTTTCACCATTTGAGGGCCTTTTGAATATTCCGAAATTTGGCACAGTGTCGGAAAACACCATGTAGAGATTTTATGTGAATACCCTTATGTTTCAATGAAGTACAAGATTATAGCTGAAGGACTGGGCTATCGAACAGTGTGAACCAAATTCAAATTGTTCTAAACTGAAAAAAGTTATTCACATTATAACAGGGGCGACATTTTGGTGTGCGACGAAATTAGTGTTGAGTAGTTTATTTTAAATTCAAAATGTTCACATTGAATGAAAGTTTTTGAATATGCATATTATAATAATTAACGATGTTTTACCTTGTTAAGAATGTGGTTTGCGAAATTTTATTATCATTGCAACAAAGATAAAGTTTGTGATTCCCTTAAAAAATTAAAATCCAAGTTAATTGAACGAAGGTATGCTCAACTTTCGGCACTATCTGTATTTTCGTTGTGCAATTCATTAAAGATTCCCATATGTTGCACACTTCAATAACCACACTGTATATACACTGTTGATGGCTTTTCTCCGAGAAATAACTGCAAGTCCTTTATCTTCCATTCGACTTCGCGGTTGCGTATATTACTAAACAACCACTAAATTCGCAATTTTTTGAAATCAAATCACAGAATTAGACTGACAGAAGTGACATCAGATATTTGATTACTTCAAAAGAATGATAAAGATGCCTACAACGCAGGTGTCCCTACTGTTGAAAACTTAAAATTCACGTCGATAATTTTCAGATTTCATAATAATGTAATATCTTCTCAATATTGACGCTACGCGTCGGGAGACAACACAACCTGGATCTAAAATCTACTACTTTTTTCCCTTGAATAAGTGAAAAATAACTTTTTTTTAGTTGTTCTTTCATAATTCACCCTACTATAAACATATATGTTTCCTGGGAATAAAAAAGATTATTATTATCTAATGACCTTGGCGACCGCGAATAGATTTCGGAAAGATGTAATTCGATGTTCGCCAGAAAATTAGTTGTTTCTCCCTCGTCGTCTACCATTAACATTTGATTTATCAAATGTTCGTGGAAATTAATGAAGTGTTTCTCCAATTATTGTTCATTAAAATAAACTGCTGAGTCGTATTGGCGAGGTGATGATTCCTATACGTCATCTGCTGGGCATATTTGAACCAGTTTCAGGGCATTCAAGGTCATTTTTGTTATTGTTTATTATTCTATTCATTTAATTGATATTTCATGTAATTCATTCAACAAATTACTTCAATTTTCTGTTCTTGATTTTCTTGAGTACAGGACAAGAACTTTATATTAATTACCGACACAATTCTACATTTTTTAATAAATCATGAATCAACAAATCAGCCAAAAACCGAGAATTAAACCGTGTTCTGTTGATGGTTGCACTACACCTTTTCCAGATGTATTTCAGAAAGCGTCAATTCAATTTCAGAAAGCATCAATTGTATTTCAGAATAGTCAATTGTATTTCAGAAAGCGTCAATTGTATTTCAGAATAGTCAATTTGATTTCAGAAAGCGTCAATTGTATTTCAGAATAGTCAATTCAATTTCAGAAAGCATCAATTGTATTTCAGAATAGTCAATTTAATTTCAGAAAGGGTCAATTGTATTTCAGAATAGTAACTTGTATTTCAGAAAGCGTCAATTGTATTTCAGAATAGTCAATTGAATTTCAGAAAGCGTCAATTGAATTTCAGAAAGCATCAAGATCGATTAGTTAGTAGAAAGTGCACTCCATGTAAGAATGCATAAGATGTTCAGTGCTTCATGTAGTGATGTTTTCAATTAAATCACCTCAAATTCCTTTTTTATGTACCTTTAGGTACCTTTATACTATTAGATGAACAGATTACGGAATTTCAGGTATAGGGGACTATCATAGATACACTTATTTCTATTGCTATGAAAAAGTTCTGATTTTTACATGTTTGTCCAATAGGAAGTGACTGATGGCTGTTTGATACTGTAAAATAGGCTTCGTAATAGCATTTACAAAATCAAGCTCTGTTGCTTTGACGTGAATGTCATGATATTTTCACGATTTATAAAGTTGTCTGGCAGGAGAACACCCCGTGGGAAGTGCCTGGCAATTGTATATTCTCTTTCATGATAGGATCCGATTGAAAATAAAAAGATCAGCTTTTGTGGAAATGATGTTTTTGCCAGTTTTTTTTTCGTACTTTCAACACCCGGTATCTCTTGAAAGCCCATCCAGTACTGAAGATTTTCAACCCCCAAAACGATTCCACCGAATAAGATATAACACACATAGAAAATATCAACCTTGTTGAAATGTTGTCTGGTGGTCGCTGGCTTTCAGTCTATAGAGAACGATTTCTGAAATTCAATTGCCTATTCTGAAATACAATTGATGCTTTCTGGAATTCAATTGACGCTTTCTGAAATTCAAATGATACTTTCTGAAATACAATTGACACTTTCTGAAATTCAATTGCCTATTTTGAAATACAATTGATGCTTTCTGAAATTGAATTGATTATTCTGAAATACAATTGACGCTTTCAGAAATTGAATTGACTATTCTGAAATACAATTGATGCTTTCTGAAATGCAAGTGACTATTCTGAAATACATTTGACGCTTTCTGAAATTGAATTGACTATTCTGGAATACAATTGACGCTTTCTGAAATACAAGTGACTATTCTGAAATTAAATTGACGCTTTCTGAAATACATCTGGAAAAGGTATAGTTAACAGATTCCATCACTCAAGAAGTCTTTTCTGATGATGAAAAATCAGTTCAGTTCGATGGACAAATGGATAATCGTGGAGCATCGAATATGAATTTGAAAACTGGATGTATAAATATATACTTACACAAAAAACTCCCTATATCCTTTACCTTTTTCTTGCATTGCTCCAATCAATGAAAACAAGGTAAAGTTGTGATTCATAGAAATATTTTTTTTTTATTCGTTTCTTTAACGTCGGTCTTTTTTTGCTACTGAGGCTAATCACCGACGCCGGTGAGCACACTATACCCCCAACCGGAAATTTTTGCCGAATCCTCTGGTGTTCCAACCAGAGGTAGGGATCTTTAACGAGTCCAACATCCATGGCCTCGGGACCGCTGTAGCTGTAGCCTGAAGCTATGATATGCTATTCCGCTACAGATGTACGGGCTTACGCGGCGTTTCCTCGAATGGTCACCCATCCAAGTACTAACCGCGCTCGACACTGCTTAACTTCAGATATCGAACGGCCAGAGCCTTACCTGAGGAGCTAGGGCGACACCCGATTCATAGATATATATTATTACTGATTATTAACTATTTGTAGTGCTCATCTGAAAGAACATGATTGAAATGATCAACAGTTCATATTTTGCATGGTAAGTTCTTGATGAGGTCTCCAGAAATTAGGACTAGGAAAAATAAAAATGTCCCTTTCTCTTTCAAAAACCCATTGTGATAATGAGAATGAAGAAGCAAATTCAGTGTCATGGACTTTTGAATTGCAATACACAAGGGTGGGCAAGAAAGATTACATTGGAAAAATGTGCAGGTCAGTATTTTATGGTTCTATATGGAATGCTTGTCTTCTCTGAATCATAATTAAGATAATGTTCATAAAATCCTGCGTAGGATTTCATAGATTCCAATTTTTGTAGTATTATTTCTATAGTAATGATAGCCAATTCAGATTGCATGTACTTCCAAAACTATCAAGTTAAAATACATGAGCAGAAATAGAAGCATTTTACCTTAATTCAAACAATTCTGTACAACCAACAGATCAAATATCTAGGTATCTATAAATGTTTGTTTAGGTCAATACTAACATCTTTTTGAATTTTTTGCAAGGAAGAAGATTTGTCATTCCAGGGTATCTTGCAAATGACTGTGAAAAGCTACTAAATGTTTTACCAAAACCCAGACAGTATTATTTCAATCAAATACACGATGTAATGATGATTCAACAATGATATTTGATATTTTCTGTGATAACTTCGAGAATTAACACAATTAACACGATTGAATAGCAGGATTAAAATGTATGCAAAACACACAAAATATGTAAACGAAGTGCCCTGATATCGCCGCCATCTTGTTTTTGATACAGCGCCCTCAACGGTCGATCACCTTGCCTATTCATATACTAACCGAGTTCAATGAGAGAGTCTGCTGGCATGGTGTCACCGGAATATGTCAATTTTATTCCATGTTTATCAACCAAAGATACTCCAAACGCATTAGGGCAATGTCTAACAAAACAGGTCTTCAAGTCTGACAAATTCAATTCAGATAATATCGGTTTCATCATATCAGCTGGATACACTGGGTTGTTATACACCTGTGAACAAAAAATTCCTTTGAGAATAATTTTCTGTGATCCAGATTGCAATCACGGTGGATTGCAAATTAGACATTTCTGGAGAACGCAACTCAGGATTATTCTAAAAAGTTGGTGCCTTAGATAATTAGATGTGTTCTATCAACCTGAAATATTCTCAGTGTTGCGACGTTGCCGCTTATATTGAAAAGTAGCAACAACTTTGATTGTTTAAATGGGACACCCGGTATATTATGTGTCGGAACTATTCATCATTGGTCAAAACGGTTTCCATGTCACCAATTATGAATAGTGTTGACAAAAAAAATTCCTAGAGTTGAAAAATATCCATTTTTCACATCCTATAACTCTGTATTTATTACTGCTAGACCCCAAGTGTTATAAAGTCAATAGAATCAGCTCTTCAGGGAGAATCTGAAAATGGAATAGTATACAGGGTGTCCCATTTAAACAATCAAAGTTGTTGCTACTTTTCAATATGAGCGGCAACGTCGCAACACTGAAAATATTTTTAGTCAATAGAACACAACTAACACTTTGCGTTCTCCAGAAACGTTTAATGTGCCATCCACCGTGAATCAGCCTGTATAAATACAGGGTTTCGCAGAAAAACTTTGAATAAAGTTTCATGATAGAAATCATGAAGGATCCAAATCGGAAGATAATTATTTTGAAGGCTGTAAATGACTGCTAAGGAAAATCTGCCTTCTCCGATTGTTACAATTATTATTCAGTAATATTTTTCGACAATGAGAATTAACATGAGACGCTTTTTATTCATGTTTTGATGTATATATACCTATTATAAACAATAATGTTTCTTGGGGTAATAAAGACAATCTATCAATCAATCAGTTTGCTTGGAACATAAAACGATCTGAGATAAGAATTCAATTGTTTTTCATAAATATTCCAATCGAGTTTTCAATAAAAAATTACACAACATTGGTTTTTCTAACAATGGGCGTGTACACCTTAGTAGAACTTTTAACTCAAACCATGTTTATAATGATCCTTTTATACATAAATAATGATTGACGACATAATTCGATCGAAAAATTAACTGGAATTTTTTATTTTTGGACATAAATAATAGTACCTTCTGAAAACGGACCCTCTTATGACGTAGAAATCTCATCTCGCCATAGTTGAAAGACAATACCAAACGCCCGACGGAGACTGAGGCAACTGATATATTAATTCTTTCAACTGTGATCTCGCGCTAATTCACTCTGTCAGAAATCATGTATCATTCATCTCAGTCCGGAATAGTCTTGTTTCAGTATTAGGGTTTTGACGTCACATCATCGCCTCGTTTTCAGAAGTCCGAAAAATCGGGGATTTCAATAATTTTTTATAAAACGTAGGGAGTTCACAGCAAGAAACGGTTTGCGGTGGTGATTTAGTTTGGGTGAGTTCTATCGAATTATGAAATAAATTTTTTTTGTGATATAAGCCTATTGGAGAAGAAATTTTATGTATGTATATGTATGTTATAGGCCGAGGAAGGTTAGAATGTTTAGAAAAAGTAGTATCCTTTCTTATGCAGAGGTGATATTTTACTTCCTCCCTATTAGAACGGTGCCTAAATCTGTGAGCTTTTGTAGCATCACTATTGGCTACACAGCCTCACAGATTTCAGCTCGTATGTACATCCAGTATATATGTAAATGGGCTAATAAGTATAGGGCAAGAACTCGATAGGACTACCGACATTACTATCTAGACCGCTAGTGGTCATATCCCAGCAACTCGAAAATTTCATTCAAATTACTCGCCTGGAAACGTTTCTGGTCAATCCGCAAGAATTCCAAAACTGTCATGCATGATATCGAATCAAAACTTGTTTTTCGGAAACAACTGAGAGTAAGATGACAGAACCTGAATGCCAAAGCTCCATTAAACCAAGTTCGACCTCGTAAATGAATGAGCTTTGATCTTGAATTAGCGGTCTAGTTAGTAATTTATGTTGGAGTCACCCTGACCTATTAGAAACGAAATTGATCACATGCTTACCAAATCTCCGTTGGGTATCAGAACGAACTCTTCCGTGATATCTTCGAAACATTTATCGTAGAAACTGAGCCAGGCCATGATCTGTTTCGGGGCGAACAGATACAGCGGTCCTTTATCGCGCAGACGCTGATTCCTAATCGCTTTTCTTCTACCTTATAATAGTAGAATGATTTATTAGGATCAAAAGTGACACGAAAGCAAAATTTGTGAGACAAACAAAGTGTCACTTTTGATCCGAATGAAAGATGCTATTGTTTCTACAACCGAAACAATTAGATCAAATAAATATGTGAAGTAACCACCAATGCCGTGCCATATGCATGCAATGCAACAAATAATCTGTGTAGTGAGAATATTCTACTTGCATTAACAGCAGGTTTGATCAATTTTCAAGGATGTTCGAATTGTAGTTTCAATATAAATACAACCACAGGGTGACATATTTGTGTATGGACCAGGTGCTCTAATGGCAAATACCGCGCCAGTGCTAGGTATAGGAACAAGACGTGGAAAATGTTAGGTTTGTGAGCATATCAACAATATTAATAGCGATTATTTATTTATCTCCATACTCCACTGTGTTTGGCTTGATAATCAAATGGAGGCAAACTATTTCGTTGTGTGTGACAAAAAATTATTGCTGGCCGTGATTATTCAAAAACGAGTTATTCAATCAATAAGATCCTGGGAATAACTGATGAAATACAGATCAAGCAAGTATGTGAATCTTGAAGGTTTTCCTGATCAAAATAAAAATACTCAACTATAAAAAGGTGTATTTATATCTCCAGCATGGGTATGAAATGCCAAATCTGCCGAAATCGGAAACAAATCAGGTATGCGTCACAACCAACTTTAGATCCTTTTTAGTTCAACTTTAGCTCCTAGGAACTAAATGTGTTGCCTAGCAACATACCTATTTTTGTGTCAGTAATAGAAACGTCAATTCAAGAGGTAATTTTGGTATTAAAATGGATGATTTTTGTGTCGGTTGCAGAAAAAAATCAATTGATTGTGACAGTATTCATTTCAGAGGGAAATCTGGAAGTCGGGCTGAACAGTAAACACAATTTGAATGAAGCTTGAAATACAATTTTACGCCGAGCGCTGCTTTTGACATATTTGATATCATCATTTGGTTTTTCTGTACTGGCAGTATTTGCGAATCTGTCAAGTTACAAAATGCCAAAGGTCTGTCACATCCAGTGTTGTCATGTCAAGAAAATCATGTACGAACACAAAAATGTTTGCACTGAATTATTTCCCTAAAGAACAAAATCTGGAATCTCTGGATTCTCATCAGCCAGGTATAAAATCCGTTGATTTAATTTTTATTCCCGCATAATATTTATCCCGTTTTCAGACAATACGGACAAGGGCGGATTGAAAATTGAATGTATAACTAATAATATTCAATAACATGTTTCCGAATCTGGTGTGGATGGTTCCCCGCGAGAATTTAAATTCAGTGAAGGTGGATTGTACCGGGTGTACCTTTGAGAAAGGACGCCGGCTGTATCTCGGAAACTAATTGCCGCACAGGTTCCGGAAAAAATATTCATGGTAAAAGCCGAAAGAAATCGCTGGAAATTATTATAGAGGGCGTTATTGCATTGACCAATTTAAAAAAACGGGATTTTGTGAGAATTCGGTATGTCGTATGTCAAAAACTATTTTTCATGATCTCCAGTTGATTTTCAATCATCAAGATCAAAACAAATTGTGCTAGCTCTTCATATAAGTGAAGGAGGGAAGGATAAATAGCGCTATGGAAAACTCTTAAGCGGGATTTATAGATTGAGGCGCAGCCGCTGCCGCCCGAAGTTGGCCAACTTATATACAAATACAAAATCTTCATTTTCATCGACTGAAATACATCAATATAGGCATTGTCATGGTCAGAAAATATATAAAACTTAATACTAGAATAAAACAATAGTAGAATAAAATGGGACAAAATGACATTATACAGGGTAACTCACGGTCGATGGTACGTTAGACGTTTATGGAGAACGCAACGCAGGATTTTTCTGAAAATCTCGCATCTTACATTTTATCACCTGTTCTATCGATCTAAAATATTTTCGAAATTGCGACGTTGCCGTTTCTATCAAAAAGTCCTAGCAACTTCATTTTTTTAAATGGAACACCCCGTATATTGATAAATTTTTAGAATTGCCTTTTTATTACAATACTCTTTTGTTGATAAATCCCTATACCTATCTCTATCGGTTTTCGAGATAAAAAATAATTTGTGTTAAATATGATCCAAAACATATCCCTAATTGAACTTATGTAAATCAGGGCTCTCGAATCATAAAGAGTTGATATTTTAGTGGTGGTTTGGACAGGCTTGATGTATTCAATTTACACCGAGAAGTCGCCTCCATATCATACAGGGCGTGCTGAAATTATTATTATATCCGTTGTTCATACAAGTGGTCAAAAGTTCATTTTTTCAAATGGAACTCACTGTTTTTTACTCAATGAATTGAAAGACGAATAAAAATGCTACAAGATGACATAGCATGTCCCTATACCTAAATCATCAAGTTTTCTTAATAAAGCCGCTTTTTGTGAAAAATATAATTTTATGAAAAAGTTAATTTTAGATAGCCATGGAAATATCAAACTCATGACAGTTCGGTGACATTAATGAGTAATTCCGTAATTGTTATTGAGAGTGTTTCAAAAAATCTCCCAGAATGAACGCGAATATCGATTATTCAAACGAAGTTCTTATGAAGTTATTTATTATGAACGGACAATGTGATCAAATTGTAACAATATTGATAATAACTCTTGGAATAATTCCTCCTTAGTTTTATTAGTACTTCAAGTTTCATAAGTACAATCAATACTAGATATTATTATTATCACCATGACACAATATCTTATATAGAGGGTTTATATTCCTACAAAACTCCCCGTCCAAAAAAATCATCACTCCTGTGATGAAACTGTCGAATATTAGAAATATGCGCCATTTCTTCTTTGTCATCAACATCGAAGTGAACATATCCTAGTACACCATCAATATACTTTACTTACTTGACTTTAAAAGGACCCCTTGTGAGATATTCTTTTCCAATTCGTTGAGTCCGAACCAATATCCAATCGTCAGTTGTCAACCGTGGTGGTCTCAGTTTTCTTGATTTATTGGCTTGTTCCTGCACTTTTCTCTTATATTGAAGTTGCTCTTCTGATGTTTTAGGGGTTTCTTTGGAGGATAGGTCAATTCCAAGCTCTCTATCTGCTTGTAATAATGTTGATTTCCCGTATAGTTTGTAATTCGGTGAACAACCCAAATATTCGTTATGTGAATAATTGTGGTGTCGCACTGATGCCTCCAAACATTTCTTCCACCCCCCTGGAAAATCTTCATAACATTTTTGGTATGTTTTCAACTCTCGAATTGTTCTTTCCGCAATTCCATTCCCCGCTGGATGGTATGGCGTTGTATGAATGAGGTTAATACTTCTAGATGAAGCCCATTCTTTTAATTCCCCAGACACAAATGCTTTTCCACAATCGCTTACAATATTTTTGACATCCTTAATGTATGGTAGTTGATTCAGGTAATTTTTTACTGCGATCGAACTTTCCTTCATCGCCTTAGCTGAAACATGTCTAGTGGCTTCGTCAATAACAATAAGGAACGATTTTGTTGTTTTATTTTGATCTGATCTTTTTGCTAATTCTCCAAAGTCTATATGGATAGTTTCATATGGATTCTGAGAGCAAGATGTAAGGTGGACGAAATCTGGTTTTGGCAAATATTTGAATTTAACATGCTGACATACTGAGCAAGTTTGTACATAATTTTTTATATCCTTGGTCATTCCCTTCCAAATGAATCGGTGTTTAATTTTGTAGTAAGTCTTATAGTATCCATCATGTCCTCCAGAGTATGCATCATCATGATATAAGGTCAAAATCTCCTTCACCATCTCACTATTTTTCACCAAGTATCTTCCGTCGTCTGCCAGCTCAAGATTTTGAATGTTTAAGTTGCACCAGAATACTTCTGAAACATTTTCGGGTACGTCGATACACAGTCTACTTATTGCATCAGCATCTTGTAATTCTTTTCCTCTCTTGTGGTTAATTTGAAACTCGAAACATCTCAAAAATAACTGCCATCTTGCTAGACGATCCCTGAGATTTCCGGTCGTCAACAATTGTGTTAGAGCTCGATGATCTGTATGAATCAAAAATTTCCTACCATCTAAATATATCCTGAAATATTTCACTGCCTTAATGACAGCAAGACATTCTTTTTCGGTCACTGAATAATTTCGTTCGCTTTTTGAAAAAGTATATGAAAAATAACTTATTACTCTTAATTGACGATTTTTTATTTCCTGTGGGTCTCTTTGATATAATATCGCACCACAACCATGGTCCATATAAAATTTTTGTTTTTTCCTTTCAATTCATCCAAAGGCCTAACTATTTTTCCATAATCCTTTATGTAACATCTGAAATGATTGGTTAAACCAGTGAATTTTTGTAAAGATTTCAAATCATACGGTTTTTTCATATCTTTCACCTTATTTACTATTTCACCCTTCATCTTCTTGGTATCACCGTCTATCTCTCTACCCAGAAATATCACTTTTGAAACACAAAACAAGCTTTTCTTGATATTAATTTTGAAATTCTGTTCATTTAGTTTCCCCAAAATTTTCATAGTTATTTCTTCACATTCCTGATATGTATATCCACCACACATTATGTCGTCAATGTATACAACAACCTTTTCAGTCAACAAACTCTCTAAAACCTCTTGCATTATCCTCTGGAATTTGGCACTAGAATTCTTCCATCCAAATGGAAGTCTATTGAATTCGAAGTGACCGTCTTCTGTAACAAATGCTGAAAATTTCCTTGTTTTTTCCGATATACTGATATTCCAGAATCCATCCTTCAGATCAATTTTGGTAAAATATTTACAGCCTCCAAATTTTTCAATAATGTTATCTATTGTTGGGAATGGAAATGTATCTAATTCCGTGTTTTCATTCAACTGTCTATAATCAATGCAGAATCTGAATGATCCATCATTTTTTGTTTTA